ACTAGTAGAAGGCGGGAGACCAAGAACCTGCTGAAGGAGCGGAACGAAGTACGGCTGAGGCCGCGCGGCGACTCCAGACACTGCAGGGACAGCACCAGCACCCCCAGTGGCAGCACCAGCGCCAACAGCACCTCCAGCTGCAGTACCTCTAGCAGCACCAGCAGCACCCGCAGCAGGACCGCCGCCAGGACTGACAGCAGTAGCCTCAGCGCCAACACCCTCAGCAGCTCCAGCTCCAGTCGTACCCGTAGGCCGAGCAGCTCCAGCACTCCCTGTACGAGCACCTCCGGGACCGGCGGCACCAGCACCCTCAGCAGCCGAAGAAGCTCCAGCTCCAGCAGAACGCCTCCAGGGCCGGGCAAACCACTCGCGCAGCTCCTGTGAAGAGAGTGGCTCCTGCCGAGACGAAGCACCCGGAGGACCTCTAGGTCAAGCACCGCCAGACGCCACACGAGCAGGCCCTGCGGCCGCCGGCTCCGCACCCCCAGGCTCAGCAGCTCCAGACGTGGCACCCCCAGGCTCAGCACCCCCAGGCTCAGCACCCCCAAGCGTAGCACCCCCAAGCTCAGCTCCCCTAGGCTCAGCACCCCCAGGCGTAGCACCCCCAGGCTCAGCACCCCCAGGCTCAGCACCCCCAGTCTCACCACCCCCAGTAGTACCACCCAAAGGCCCAGCACCCCCAGGCGTAGCACCCATACGCTCAGTACCCCCAGAGTCAGCACCCCCAGGCTCAGCACCCGCAGCAGCACCAGAGTCACCAGTAACCTCGACAGGCTCGACTGCGTCTACCTAGGACACACCTGAAGGGGCAGGACCCTGAGGGGGGAGGGGGTCTACCGGGGGGGGACCTGGCACAAGGAAGAGCGGTGGCGGGGGGAGGGAAGGAGTGCGGTAGGGGAAGAGGCGGTAGTAGGGGACCGACTCGTCAAACGTGACGTCCCGGGAGGACAGGACACGACGAGAGGTGCGGTGGTAGAACTGCCACCCTGGCGCGTCAGGGGGGAAGCCAAGGAAGACGCAAGGAGCAGCACGAGGGGACAGCTTGTCCGCAGACAAGTCGCGGACAAACGCCCGAGATCCCCAGACACGGAACGCAGACGCATCGCCTACCTTCCCCGTCCACAGCAAAGCTGGGGAGGTCTCCGGCATGGAGACCCTGGGGTGAAGGTTGATCTGATGCGCCGCGTACCGAACCGCAAACGGCCACAGAAAATGGGGGGCAGCCGCATGCATCATGGACGTACGGGCGACGTCCATGACCATGCCAATGCGGCGCTCAGCAATCCCATTTTGCTGTGGAGAGTCCGGAAGCGTAAAGGTCTGGTGGATGCCTCGCGCACGACAGTAGGCTCGCAGAAGGCCAGAGGAGAACTCTCCGCCTCGGTCAGAGTGCAGACGCAGAACAGGAAAGTCCGAGCCGAAGCTCCGCCTGAGCTGGAGACGAGCTGTGCGGATCCAGTCGATCAACACCTCAGTGACATCACCCTTGCTGCGCAAGGGGAAGACTGTGGTGTAACGCGAGTAGTCGTCAACCACCAGCAGGAAGTAGCGCTCGTGACCCTGTCCACGGACGCGGGCCGGGCCCCACACGTCCATGTGAAGCGTCTGCAGCGGGGCCTCTGTCGGGGGAAACTGAGAGGAGTGAGGGGCAGCCCGCAGCCGCCCCTTGACGGAGGGGACGCAGGTAGGGCCAGGCCCCGGAGGAAGGGGAGGGAGGGACCAGGGAAGACCAGAGACAAGGACACGGGAGGCCATGCCTCGGAGACGAGGCAGGGAGGGGTGACCAAGGCGGTGGTTCCAGAGGAGATTCTCGTGAGACAGGAGGCGACACGAGCAGGGGGCAGACTCAGGACCAGACCTGGACGCTGCAGCAAACACCTGACCCGACGCAACTACCTGACCAGACGCAGGGACAGGAGGAGACTCAGTGGTCAGGGTGTATAGGCTCGACCCCGGCCGACGCGTAAACGTGGCCAGGTGCCGGCCTGTGCGAGCGTCCGAGCAGTGGGTCACCCGCTGACTCGCAGGAGTAAACTGGTGAACCCCCGCATCCTGTAGGTTAGTACCACTCACCAGGTTTGTAGAGAACGAGGGGAGGTAAAGACCAGACAAGGTGCCAGAGGGGGCCGCCGGACACGGGAGGACAGTGGAGAAGTGAGAAAGGATAGGACCCCAAGAGGGGTCTGCCAAGGAGACTGCAACCGGCCGACCAAGCGGCGTGAGTGTGGTGCGGTCTCAAAAGAAGGAGCGAGAAGCCCCTGAGTCAAGTGTGAAGGTGAGGGAGGCCGAAGCCGACGCGGTACCTGAGAGCGCAGACTCACCAGCACCTGAGGACGCAGACGCACTGGCACCTAGAGCAGCAGCCTCACTGGCACCTAGAGCAGTAGCCTCACCAGTACCTGGAGCAGCAGTCTCAATGCCCGGGTCGGGCGGGAAACACCGGTAACAGTCACCCTCATCACTAATAGTCACAGCATACATGGCAGCAAGAATAGCATCAAAGTCAAGATCAAAGATAGCTACACCCGCCCTAGACAGCTCACCCCAGCGGGGGATCTCAGTGGCCTCCGGGAATTGGTGACGCCAAGCGTCCGTCAGGCGGCCAAAGCAGCGCTGGGTGGGGTGTGCACCCTCACACTGCTCACCCGCGCGGTCGCCGGTGCGTAGGACGTAGGTGCACGGACCGGTACCCCCACCACGCTGACGTGCAGCGTACCACTCACGGAGCTGCTGAGGGGGGGGTATGTTCCGAGAACGCTGCTGCTGCTGCTGGCGCTGACCACCACCGGAGCCGCCCCGCTGCGTAGCGCCACCCCGACCAGCTCCACCTCCTCCACCACCGCCTCCTCCACCTCCGCACCACCGCCGCCTCCGCTCCCACCGCTACCGCCTCCCCCGCCTCCGCCTCCACTGCCGCCACCGACACCTCCACCCCCGCCACCACTCCCACCGCCACCCCCACTCCCTCTGCCGCCTCCACTGCCGCCTCCACCACCCCCGCTAGCTCCTCGAGCGCCCCTGCCCCCCTTGCCCTTGCCAGAGCGGCGTCTCCCGCTGGGGGTAGACGCCGCACCGACCGACTCAAGACCAACGAGGTCGGTCGCAGCAGCAGAGGCGACAGAGGGCAAAAGGGGGGAGGGAGAACACCCCTCAAAGATGGGGGTGCGAGGGTCACCACGAGAGGCTCCTACAGCGACTATGCTCTTCTCCGCTGCTAAGAGGGCCTTCTCAAGGAGGTCAACAGTGAGAGTGGTGGGACAGACTGAGAGGAAGTGGTCTCTGACTACACGAAGGGAGTCAGGGAGGCGGGTGACTATGTAGTAGAGAGTGATGTACATGGGGGGGGGGGTTCCTGGCGCAGAATTCAGCAGGAAGCGCAGCGTGGTAGCGAGTGTCACTAGTGCGGAGGTGCGTAATGAGGTCAGCGACTGTGGGAAAGGCAGCAAGGTCAGGGAAGAGGTACGGTAGCATGAGGCGACTCAGTGCAGCAGTGGCAGGGGAAGAGTAGCGCGCAACTACAGCGTCGTACAAGGCCTGAGCACTCTTGTACTGACTAAAGTGCGCGCGCTTAGTGGTAGGCAGGTGGCGACGCACAGCAAGACGTGCAGCAGCATCGCGAGTGGCCCACTGTGAGCGAACAGTGGCGTCGGCATCGGCAGCAGGGGCAGGGGAAGCACCAGATGTGAGGTCAAAGAGGGAGAGACCGTCTGCCCTATCGCACTGTAGGAAAAGCTGCAGGTCATCTACCCAGATGTCAAAGTCAATGGCCCGACCCTCAGCGTCAAAAGTGAGAACACTAGGGGTAGCCATGACAGTAGTAGACTAGCAGCGCTAACTGTAGAGCAGGGGCAGTGCAGTGACAGAGGCGCTGCTCTCACCAGACAGGGCGGTTCGGGTAGCTCGGGCGGCTCGTCAGCAACTGCGGCTCGGCGGCACCCGCGGCTCGGCTCCTCAGCTGCTCAGGGGGCTCGGGCGGCTCGGGCGGCTCGGGTGGCACGGGCGGCTCGGGCGGCTCGGGCGGAACGGCGGCTCTGCGGCACCCGCGGCTCGGCTCCTCAGCTGCTCAGGCGGCTCGGGCGGCTCGGGCGGCTCGGGCGGCTCGGGTGGCTCGGGCGGCTCGGGCGGCTCGGGCGGAACGGGCAGCTCGGGCTGCTTAGCGGCTCGGGCGGCTCGGCTGTTGGTAGGGCGGCGGGGCCGCAGGTGGGGCGGCGGGGCCGCAGGTAGGGCGGCGGGGCCGCAGGTAGGGCGGCTGGGCCGCAGGTAGGGCTGCTGGGCCGCAGGTAGGGCGGCTGGGCCGCAGGTAGGGCGGCTGGGCCGCAGGTAGGGCGGCTGGGCCGCAGGTAGGGCGGCGGGGCGGGGCCGTAGGTAGGGCGACGGGGCCGGGTCGAAGGTAGGGCGACGGGGCCAGTACGCAGGTCTCATGCCGCCAGATTCCGCATGCTTGATTGGCTGATGTGAGCTTCAACCAATCGTCAACGGACAGGCTAGATTTGACTCGAAGCTGCATTTTGTCGCCCGACCACAGCATCTTCCTCCCTGGTACAAAAAGGCTTCGCCAATTCGGCTGCGGGTTACACGATCGATGTCACTCGCCTGCTATATTCGTCTGCGTGGCCCGTCTCAACAACCAGCTGTGTTTGCCATGACGTCAGGTGTTGATTGTCGTGACTGGCGAGGTTGGTGTGCCTAGTTGGCTTGCACGTCAGACCGAGTACACATGATGCCCGTTTGAGCCACTCCCGGTTGCCTTGTTAAGGGGGCTCATAAGCTACACATGCATTTCGCCAGGGTTCGTATGATTCGCTACACTTCTAATGTGCTTCTAAAAAATAATGGTAACCAAGTTTTTTGACTATTCCGTAATAGTGTGGGTTGGCCACACTTGTCATTAGTGGGTGCTCATTGTTACCACCTGATATCAATAGCACACTGTATCGCAATTACAACAAACTTTCAACTCCGTCAAAAACATGCAACCCACTCAACTCCCCAATCTTGTTCTACCACCTGGCCCTCAACTTCATTGCCAGGTGTTGATGAAGCACACATCAATGTGCACAAGTCGTGCACATTGATGCCAAAGAAGGAGCACTCAACTCCTCTAGGGGGGTGAAAACCCCTCACATACGCATCCACTTCGCGGCGTCAGTGTATCCGCCCATCACGGCGGTCACGCCGGCATCCAGCAGCTGCTGGCGGCGGGAAGGCTGGGTCATCCAGCCAGGAAGCACACGGCCGCGCGGGCGTGGGGTGTCGGGCGCCGAGCTTGCGCCCGGCGTAGCTGCGGGGGCCGGGGTCACGTTCAGATTGATGGGCGGGCTCGCCCGCTCCATCCGCTCAATCATGAGCGGATTGCAGATGTCGAACAGGTGGCACAGGTCACGCGGAATGATGCTAGTGACGCGTGCATATCCGATTAGCATTTCGCACGCCGCCCGTGCCGTGCGCCGCACTTCATGGCTCACGGGGTCACCCTCCTCGTACACGGCTTGCATGGTGGTTGGCGCCTCCCAAAGTTCCGCCACCATGCCCGCACCCGGCTCTCCCGCCAGCGGGTCCTCGCTGGTCTCGGCGCATGTCAGTTGATCCTCGTCGATGGCGACATACTCAGCGGCGGACATCGTGCTGGGCCCGAGTCCGAGGCGGGAAATGAGAATCCCGACATCCCCGATATCCTCGTCGAGATCGATGTCGGGGTAGGCATCAACGCGTGTGCCGTCAAGTTCGCCTTCGCCACCGTCTCCATCCTCGTCGTGAACATGCGGCAGCTCTATGGCCCACGAATGAGGCAGGCATCCGGTGCGCCACCAGCACCGCTAGATGGTGCGGGGGCCAATGCTCGTCCATGCGTCCGACAGCCACGCCAGGACGTCGCGGAGACTCGGGCGGAACCTCGCAGCAGCGCTTGTTGCACCGTCCGCCGCCCACAGGGCCGTGAAAATCCGCGGCCAGTGCTGACGATAGCGTGCCTTGGCGGTGGCGATGATCCCCTGATCCAGGGGCTGGGTGAATGTCGTGGTGTTCGGCGGCAGAAACACCAAGTGGATGTTGCTCATGCAGGTCCTCCGAAAGCTGTGAACGACCTCGCTCCAAGCCATCTCGCTATTCAGCATGTGCGAGCTAGCGTTGTCGAGCAAGATGACGATGTGACGGCCCTCCGCGTACATGTCAAACCTATATGCTATGGTCTATCTAGGCTGTAGTGGGGTAGACACTATACGGTACAACATTTCTAGGTTTCCTACTTGTACCCACATTCTCCTTAGTCATTCATTCCTCATTTCTTCACATGGTTCCCTAGTGGGAACACTTTCTAGGGCCCATCACTGAAATCGAAATTTTTTCTAACCGGAGCGCGAGTCGCCCCTGCCCGAGGCGCGCCCCGTGGGCCGCCCTCTTGTCGAGCCCTCCTAGAGGCCCCTCTCACGGCCCCTCGCGCCACCCTTAGCGGCCTCGTCGCCACCCCTAGCGGCCCCTTCGCCGCCCTTCTAGGCCCCTCGCGGCCCCTTCGCGGCCCCGTCGCCGCCCCTAGCGGCCCCGTCGCCACCCTTCCAAGCCCCTCGCGGCTCCTTCACGGCCCTGTCGCCGCCCCCAGCGGCCCCGTCGCCGCCCTTCCAGGCCCCTCGCGGCCCCTTCGCGGCCCCGTCGCCGCCCCTAGTGGCCCCGTCGCCGCCCTTTGAGGCCCCTAGCGGCCCCTACGCGGCCCCGTCGCCGCCCCTAGCGGCCCCGTCGCCGCCCCTCGCGGCCCCGTCGCCGCCCCTCGCGGCCCCGTCGCCGCCCCTTGCGGCCCCCTCGCCGCCCCTTGCGGCCCCGTCGCCGCCCCTTGCGGCCCCGTCGCCACCCCTTGCGGCCTCGTCGCCGCCCTTAGCGGCCCCATCGCCGCCCCTTGCGGCCCCGTCGCCGCCCCTTTCGGCCCCTCCCCGGCCCCTTCACCGCCGAGCCGCCAAGCAGCCGAGCCGCCGAGCCGCCTAGCCGCCGAACTGCCGAGCCGCCGAGCCGCCGAGCCGCCGAGCCACTGAGCAGCCGAGCCGTCGACCCGCCGAGCCGCCGAGCCGCCGAGCACGAGCCGCCGAGCCGCCGAAGCTGCCGTCGAGCCGCCACTACCGAGCCGCTGCCGCCGAGCCGCTGTCGAGCCGCTACTGCCACTGCCGAGTCGCTGCCACCGCAGTTGCAGCCTTGTTCCTACTGGCGCGCCCCGGCCCTACCCACACGAACTGGTGAGAGCACTCCCTTCTAGACCACTGCTGTCATGGCTACCCCCAGTGTCCTTACCTTTGATGCTGAGGGTCGTGCAGTTGACTTCGAGGTCTGGGTCGATGACCTACAGCTCTTCCTACAGTGCGATAGGGCAGACGGACTCTCCCTTTTCGATCTCACCTCTGGTGCCTCTCCTGCCCCGCCTGTTGATGCTAACAGGGCCACACGCGATGCTGCTGCCCGTCTTGCTGTGCGTCGCCACTTACCGACCGCTGAGCGTGCGCACTTTAGTCAGTACAAGAGTGCTAAGACCTTGTACGACGCTGTAGTTGCACGCTACTCTTCCCCTGCCACTGCTGCTCTTAGCCGCCTCATACTGCCGTACCTGTTTCCTGACCTCGCCGCCTTTCCCACTGTCGTTGACCTCGTTACGCACCTTCGCACTAGTGACACCCACTACCGCGCTGCGCTTCCTGCTGAGTTCTGCGCCAAGAACCCCCCCCCCCCCCAGGTACATCACCCTCTACTACATAGTCACCCGGCTCCCTGACACCCTTCGCTCGGTCAGGGACCACTTCCTCTCTATTTGCCCCACCACACTCACCGTTGACCTCCTCGAGGAGCGCCTCCTGGCAACTGAGAAGAGTATAGTTGCTGTAGGAGCCTCTCGAGGTGACCCGCGCGCCCCTATCTTTGAGGGGTGCTCCCCCTCCCCCCTTTTGCCCTCTGTTGCCTCCGCTGCTGCCGTCGACTTCGTTGGCACCGAGTCGGTCGGCGCTGCGTCTGCCCCTAGCGGGCGACGCCGCACTGGCAAGGGCAAGGGGGGTAAGGGCGCTGGAGGGGCTGGCGGGGGCGGTAGAGGTGGAGGTGGAGGAGGCGGAGGGAGTGGGGGTGGTGGTGGGAGTGGTGGCGGGGGTGGGGGCTTCGGTGGCGGCGGTGGCGGCGGAGGCGGCGGCGGCGGTGGCGGTGGGAGCGGAGGAGGAGGCGGTGGCGGCGGTGGCGGAGGTGGCGGCGGAGGAGGTGGAGCTAGTCGGGGTGGCTCTGCGCAGCGGGGCGGCTTAGGTGGTGGTCAGCGCCAGCAGCAGCAGCGCACTCGTGAGACCCCGTCCCCCCAGCAGCTTCGTGAGTGGTACGCTGGGCGTCAGCGAGGTGGGGGTACTGGTCCCTGTACCTACGTTCTTCGTACCGGCGACCGCGCCGGAGAGCAGTGCGGGGGCTCGCACTCCACCCAGCGCTGCTTTGGCCACCTGACGGACGCTTGGCGTCACCAGTTCCCTGACGCCACTGAGATCCCTCGCTGGGGAGAGCTGTCTAGGGCGGGGGTTGCTATCTTTGATCTTGACTATGATGCTATTCTTGCTGCCATGTATGCTGTGTCTCCTAGTGATGAGGGTGACTGTTACCTGTGTGTTCCGCCTGACCCGGGCATTGAGGCTGCTGCTCTAGGTGCTGGTGAGGCTGCTGCTCTAGGTGCTAGTGCGTCTGCTGCCCCAGGTGCTGTTGAGTCTGCGCTCTCAGGTACCACGTCGGCCTAGGCCTTACACACCTTCACCCTTGACTCGGGTGCTTCCCGCTCCTTCTTTCAAGACCGCACCACGCTTACGCCGCTTAGTCGGCCGGTTGCATTCTCCCTGGCGGACCCCTTTGGGGGTCCTGTCCTTGCTCGCTTCTCCACTGTCTTACCGTGTCCGGCAGCTCCCTCTGGCACCCTGTCAGGTCTCTACCTCCCCTCATTCTCTACGAACTTGGTGAGTGGTGCTGATCTACAGGATGGGGGGGTTAACCAGTTCACTCCTGCGAGTCAGCGGGCGACCCACTGTACGTGTGCTCGGACGGGCCGACACTTGGCCACGTTTACACGTCGGCCGGGGTCGAGCCTGTACACACTTACTACTGAGTCTCCTCCGGTTGCTGAGTCTGGTCAGGTAGCTGCGTCGAGTCAGGTGTTTGCTGCAGCGTCCAGGTCTGGTCCTGAGTCTGCTCCCTGCTCGTGTCGTCTCCTGTCCCACCAGACTCTCCTTTGGCACCACCGCCTTGGTCACCCCTCCCTGCCTCGTCTCCGATGCATGGCCTCCCGTGTCCTTGTCTCTGGTCTCCCCCGGTCCCTCCCCTCCCCTCCCTCCAGGGCCTGCCCCTACCTGCGTTCCATGCGTTGAGGGGCGGCAGCGCGCCGCCCCTCACTCCTCCGACAAAGGCTCCCCTGCAGACTCTTCACATGGACGTGTGGGGCCCCGCCCGCGTCCGTGGCCAGGGTCACGAGCGTTACTTCCTGTTGGTGGTTGACGACTACTCGCGTTACACCACGGTGTTCCCCTTGTGCAGCAAGGGTGACGCCACTGAGGTGTTGATCGACTGGATCCGCGCGGCTCGTCTCCAGCTCAGAGAGAGTTTCGGCTCGGACTTTCCTGTTCTGCGTCTGCACTCTGACAGAGGCGGAGAGTTTTCCTCTGCCCGTCTGGGCGCCTTCTGTCGTGCACAGGGCATCCGCCAGACCTTCACGCTTCCGGCCTCTCCACAGCAAAATGGGATTTCTGAGCGCCGCATTGGCATGGTCATGGACGTCGCTCGTACATCCATGATCCATGCGGCTGCTCCCCATTTTCTGTGGCCATTTGCGGTTTAGTACGCAGCGCATCAGCTCAACCTTCAGCCCCGGGTCTCCTTGCCAGAGACCTCCCCCACCTTGCGGTGGACGGGGAAGGTTGGCGATGCGTCTGAGTTTTGTGTCTGGGGATCTCGCGCGTTTGTCTGCGACTTGTCTGCGGACAAGCTGTCCCCCCGTGCTGTTCCCTGCGTCTTCCTTGGCTTCCCCCCCGACGCGCCTGGTTGGCAGTTTTACCACCCCACCTCGCGTCGTGTTCTGTCCTCCCAGGACGTCACCTTTGATGAGTCGGTGCCTTACTACCGTCTCTTCCCCTACCGCACTGCTCCCCTCCCCCCGCCGCCGCTCTTCCTTGCGCCAAGTCCTCCCCTGGTAGACCCTCTCCCCCCTCAGGGTCCTGCCCCTTCAGGTGTGTCCCAGGTAGACGCAGTCAAGCCTGTCGAGGTAGCTGTTGACTCTGGTGCTGCTAGGGGTGCTGAGCCTGCGGGTGCCGGGTCTGGGGGTGCTGAGCCTGGGGGTGCGGAGCCTGGGGGTGCTGAGCCTGGGGGTACGGAGCTTGGGGGTGCGGAGCCTGGGGGTGCTGGGTCTGCTCGTGTGGCCTCTGGCGGAGCTTCGTCGAGGCGGGAGCTACCCTCTCCGCAGGAGTTGCGCGAGTGGTTTGCCCAGCGCTGGAGCCGTGCTGCTGGAGCTGGAGGTGCTACTGTTGCTGCGGGTCCTGGAGGTGCTCGTACTAGCGGTACTGGAGCTGCTGGGACTAGGGGTGCTGATGGGGCTACTGGAGTTGGTCCTGCTGGAGGTGCTGCTGGAGCTGCTGGCGGTACT